GTGTTCTCTCAGGTAAAAACATAGTGTTTTTGTTATTTGCGGTTTTCCACATTCACGGGGGCCCTGTGCCATTAGCCCCAGCAAATGCGGAGGGACAAGTGTAATAAACTTCAGCTGCATAGCTGTGAGAAAGCACAAGACCATTGCTTTTTCAGACTGCAACCAGGACTCAGATATGCTCTGGCTTGGCTGACATCCAAAGCTGAACTCCACAGTCGTTGATGCTGTTCGGTCCTGGGTGTTGTTGTTTTTTTTTTAAAATGAATTTATTAAAATTATAATCCAATCCTGTTCTCCTCTTGCCACTAAATATCAGGGGATCACTTAGAGGGAGTGAGGGGTCATGAATGGAAATGCTGTATATCTCCATCCATAATGATGATAAACTGACAGAGAGCCAGCATGGTATAGTGGTTTGAGTACTGGACTATGACTCTGGAGACCAGGGTTCGAGTCACTGCTGGGCAATGGAAACCCACTGGGTGATCTTGGGTGAGGCACACACTCTCAGCCTCAGAAAGCTCTGTGATAGATTTACCTTAGGGTCACCATAAGCCAGAAATGATGTGAAGGCACTGACCAACAAAAGTCATTAACAGGAGTCTGGTTACTATATTTTTAATTCATTCCACTATACCTACAGACAAAGCTAAGTATAATCTTGCACCATGATAACACCTAATGTCGCCTAATTTTACAGTCTGAAATTGCCATCTACCACCTTAAGACCTTGACTAAATGCAGATGCTATGCAGACAAATCCACATCTCCTGCCCACCTGCTCATCCCAACTCCACAAGAGTTCTGGAGAAATCAACCACTTGCACACTGTTTTCTCCTGATTTGGCCTAATAAAGCTACGGTATTATCTTGTCCACTCGAAAGCTGCTTATTTTACATACTCAGGGACATCAAGGATAAGTAATCGGTGGCTTTCAAGACACTGAACACTAGCTCCCATAACTGATCACATCATTTATGCTGGCTAGGGATGATTGGAGCTGCAGTGCAATTGGAGGGCCTTATTGTGTCTCTAACCTACTTGTGCAAAAGTTGCCCACAGCTCTTTTTTAAGGAACTGGCTAGCTGGCTTAACCAGATGTTGTTGTAATATAGAGAATGCTTCTTAAAGACATACAACACAGTTGTACTTGATGGTGGTTTCCTTTTGTCTGCAAGTTGTGATTCATCTTAATTTTGTTGTAGAGAATTCCTTGACATTCACAGCTGCTAAATTATACTCCTCCACATTGCAACTGTATAATCTTCAGTATGGAAGGCTAGCATATTCCAAGGCTGGCAAGACAAACACTCATTATCTGTCATTCAATGGTGTAAAGATCTCAATGTTCTGTCTACATTTGGCGGTGTTTCTTATTGGCTGTGTCATTTGGGCATTTTTCAGACATATAGTCTGATTACACTACTAATGTCAACTTAACCTGCAACTCTTTGATCCTATTCATGTTATTGTGAATTGACTTAGGATTTTCTTCGTTCTGCTTTCTGTGCATTTGCAAATAAATAATAATAATAGTAGTAATAATAGGGTCACATGTTCCCCACTTTAGTCCAAATTATTCCAGTTCCTACAGAAGTTACTACAAGTTGAACATGAGTCAGAAGTGTAATGTGGCAGCTACAAAGCCAATATTATTGTAGTCTGCATCAATGACCTACAGTATCTAGATTGAAGGAAATACTACTACTACTCTATTCTGCTTTGGTCAGGCCTCACCTGGAATCCTGTATACAGTTCAGTTTAAGAAAGATGTTGACAAGCTGGAGTGTGTCCAAAGAAGTGCAACTAAAATGGTGCAAGGTCTGAAAATCATGCCCTATGAGAAGCGGCTTAGGGAGCTGGGTATGTTTAGCCTGGAGAAGAGATGGTTAAGAGGTGAAATGAAAGTCATGATTAAATGTTTAAAGGGATTTCATACTGAGGATTGAGCAAGCATGTTCCAGAGACATTAGGTGGAAAAGAGATTCCACCTAAACATCAGGAAGAACTTCCTGTTGGCAAGAGCTTTTCAATAGTGGAATATGCTGGCTCAGAGGTGGTAGAATCTCCATCTTTGGAGATTTTTAAACAAAAGCTGGAGGTTTATCTATCAGGTGTAGCCAAAAGTCTATGAAGGGGAATTTTATTTAGCTCAAATGGAGAGAGGGTCGGCTACAAGGACCCTGCGAGACCATCTCCCACGTGTATACCAAGAGTGTGGTGGATCTAAAAATTGCTGCAGAGGCAATATCCTCAAATTAAAGTATTATTTATTGAAAAGTGGGAAAATCACACAACAATACACACACACACACACACACACACACACACACACTCATGTAGGGCTTGGGAAATCAGGGGTTAGGCTGGAATAAATGCCGAGGCAGTACTACGGCGATACTTACTACCGATGAAGCCTTCTCCGAGATCCAATTGGGTGAAGTGATGTGAGACACAACCGTTCTAAGCATGGGTTGAAAGGAGGTGCCAGTAACCAGGTCAGAGAACAGAGTGATGCAGGGTCCCCCTGAACTCAGACTAGTGACATGAGAGGAGAAATCCAGGAGTTTTAAGGGATCAGACTAGCCCCTGGCAAGGTGCTTGATTGCTTGGCTAAAGCCTAGACCAGGGGTAGGCAACCTTTTGGAGACCTGGGCTGGTCCCCTGAAGTCCAGGTCTCCGCTGGGCCGAGGGGGGGGATGGCAAAGCGCACACCCTCCGCCACTGCACGCAACCCCCCCCGCACCCACTGCCACCGCTGCTGCTGCCGCCGTGACACACACGGGCACAGCCGCCACGGCACATGTCGTGTCCGCCATTTTGTTCTCCAAAATGGCAGCTGTGACACGTTTGCGCATGCACAGTACTCCTGTGCATGTGCAAACACATCACAGCCTCCATTTTGGAAATCAAAATGGCGGGTGCGGCACACACAGACGCACGGACAGCAAAACGCGCAGCGGCGGCAGAAGTCTGCCTGGGCCGGTAAGTCCGGCGACCTGGGCTGGAACCGGCCCGGGGGCCGTAGGTTGCCGGTCCCCGGCCTAGACAAAGGAGTTTGATTGTTTGGATATAGCTTTAGATGGTTTGACTAAAACTTTAGATTGTTTGGCCAAGTCTTACACAAAGGTGTTAGATCGCCTGGGTAAGTAATCTGGTCTGGCAATATTCAAGGGGGAAATGGGAGCCGACTCCTCAGGTGAGAACTCTCTGCCATTATCACCCATCCTTCTGATTATGGAGGTGATGATAGTCCATTTGCAACTCCCACATTATCTGTCTGGCTCTAGGGTTTGGGGATTTTCCAGCCTTTCAGGTGACCTGAGCATGACCTCTTTGCCATTCCATGGAGGCACATGGAGTCTATTGCAGAGTAAATCTGGGGCCATGTGGAATTCATACACACCAAATTTCAGAAAAATGCATTTTATCACTCATGCCTGTTGTCTCATCACAGTTGCACTAGTTTAATAACAGAAGCACACTGGTTTTATGTCAACCTTTTTCACATGTGCTCTGCATTAGTGCTTTATTGCTGCTTTTGGTGATCCATGGCCGTGCAACCTGATTTCCACAGCACCACCATAATGCTGCCTTTTGAACCCTGCATGCCCTACCCTGTGTATGCATGCCCTTCCTTTGATTTTGATTTTTTTTATTTAGTTTTCGTTGACCTCATTTCATAATTCCCTGCAAAAGAAAGAAAGAAATGAAAGTCTTTCTTCACAAGGAGAAGATTGTAATTTCTTCTTTGGTGGGATGCAGGGAGAAGCTGGTTGTACCCCTCCACCCAGCAAAAAGAAATTAGAGTCTGTCCTCATGAGGAGAGGACTCTTATTTCTTCTTTGGCTGGGGCAGGGAGCAGAAACTGAGGTGTGCTTAGCAACTTGGGTCTCTCCAGGTATTCATGGACTACAGTTCCCCATCATTCCTCATCCCTGGTTACACCAGCTGGAGGACGTTGCAGTCCAAAAACATCTAGAAGGACACATTTCTCAGGGAAATTAAAATGAGCATTCTCTTTTTAAAACTCCTAAAAGCAGTCTACAAACAATCTACATTTTAGGAGGAGTGCAACGATTGTCCCGCTTACAGGCAGAGTTGCATGCCTTGCCCTCTGGATGTATGCCACTTTCCCAGAGTGCCCTGCAAAAGGACGGCACTGTCGTTCTGCTAATTACAGATGACATTCTTTGTCTGATGAATGCCATCTGGGCAGCTCTCAAAGTGGTAAACCGCCTCATAATGAATAACAAGCTGCTAATGAATATTTAGGGATGGGGGAGCTTGTGTCACAGTATTGCAAGCAGGGAGAACTGGCAAGCACACACAATCTATGGGGCCCTTGGTGACATCCCTGAAAGCCATGACCCACTGAAACAATACGCAAGAACTGGGGCAGTATGCAAGAGAGGTTCATTTTCTGTGGTCACCGTTCTCACTGCCAAAGAGACAAGCTGCTGTGCCAGTCAGGAAGTGGCTTGCCTTTTTGGCCGTAGGAACTGCAGAAGCAAAAGCAGACTACAGTCTAGGGCCTCATTCCCACTATGTTATAAATTAGTTCACTAATCAGTTTGAAGTGGTTTAAATGACCCTGGTTCACACTTGAACTGAATCGCTGAAGCAGTTTGGCGAGGGGGCCTCTGGGCTAGACCCATTTGACGCATGTCTTTTTGACGCTCATTTTATCCACGTCTTTTGCAATAAATTGACTCAGCATAAGTGTGAACAGGATGCGGATCGGAATCGATTTAAATTTGCCCTTTAAATTTGCTGGGTGGCTGAAGAGGGTGCATTTTGAATCAATTCATTAGTCAATGTGAATAACAAGTGGGTTATTTTACAACAAGAAAATGTGATTGGGGCAAATATAGTGTGAACTATGCTCCACTGTCGAACTGTTCCATCAATTCAGATTGCAAACTGATTTTTATTAGTAAGTGGGAATGAGGTCATAATAGCTGTGTTGGGAGGTTATTTTCTGTGCATATATGACACTGCTTTGGATCCTCACTGGTCTCCAGGAAAATTCTACATAAATATACATTTAAAATTACAGTGAGCTCTTGGTGACCGCTGGGGTTTGGTTCCAGGACTCCACTTGGACACCAAAATCTGTGGATGCTCATGTCCCATTATATACAAGGGCATACTAAAATTGTGTGCCTTATAAAGGTAAAGGTATTCCCCGTTGACAAGGTTGTCAAGTTGTGTCCAGTGGCAATGCTCATCTCCATTACTAAGCCCAAGAGCCAGCATTGTCAGAGACTACTCTGTGATCATGTGGCCAGCATGACTACATTAAACTCTGTTACCTTCCCACTGAGAAGTAGTATCTATTTATCTACTTGCATTTGCATGCTTTCGAACTTGGGAGACGCTGGGACTAGTGACAGGAGCTCACTCCATCATGCAGCACCCAGGCCTCGAACTGCCAACCTGCCGATCTTGCTATCCACAGAGTCA